TTTACACAACAATAATAGAAGTAACTGGATTAGGATTATATGAGTTTGAATATTGTTGTAAATAGTAGCAATATTTAGTAGAAATAAATAAAAATTCAAGAAACCGCAATAAATAGTATTTACAACTTGAAGCTTAAAGAAATTCCCATTAGAATGTGTTTCATTAAAAAATATCTGCAAGCCCATTTTTGGATGATACTTTACAATTAAAATTGCTTGATATCAGCAAATCAAATCCTCCATTATATAAAAAAAGATCCATTTATCCTTTAATAACCAAGTTCTATTAATTCCCCATTTTTATCCAGTTTACTAGCAATCAATCGCACACAGTTTCAAATCTTACCAGGAATAGCTTCTTGGTGAAAACCAGGATTAAATTAATTAACCTCGACATCCGCTTTGCCTTGCCAGTGGGAAACTTTTCAATTATCAACGATCTGATGGTAGCTGAAATCGACAATGGAAACAGATAGGATGATTACTATCAGCACAGAACCATCAACTGTGGCGTCTGATTAACCGTCAATTCTGAATGAACGAAAGGACATTGATATTTTGATCGTGGACAAATGTAACATAGCTTTAATTTATATTTGAAAACTGATTAGAAACAGCGATCAAATAAGTTCGATTATTTATATCTTTTAAATACATTTTGGCCAAAACTTCTGATTTTGCAACTCCAGTATGTTCTAATCAGGGGTGGCCAACCCAAATGATCTTGCGGGCCACTTTGGAAATGTATCATAACTCCTCGCGCCGCAAACAAAATTATATCTCTCCATACTAGATTTAGACCCACTATAGAAATTTTTTGGAATGAAATTGAATTAGAAACAATGATCGAAGGAATTAGAAACGGTGATCAAATCTTGTTGGGTGATTTATATCTTTTAAATACATTTTGTCAAAACTTTTTAATCTTGCAACTCCAGTATTTTCTAAATTTAATACGAAATCTTCGAATTTAGTTAATTTTCTATTTGATAGAACACCAAACAATACTACAGAAAAACACGCTACACCCAATTATTCATCAAATTAAGGAGGAACTGTCTCCAAATCAATGTTTTATGGACATCAAAATCGATTCTTACCAGAACTGCGTTAAATTAGTTGAACCTAATTATTTCATTTTCATTTTCATTTTAATTAGAAAATGAAAATTCGAGAAACTGCAATTAATAACTAATATTAACAATACACTTAACGAAATATCCATTTGATTGAGTTTCAATAAAAAAAAAATCTCTAAGTAAAGATCTATGAATTATGGTCTATGAATAAAAGTAAAAATCTATGTCTTTGATATTAAATTGATCTGTACCATATGTATTTGCACACCAATAATAGTATAATCAACAAGGTTATGATTAAATTAGCATAAATATTACTGTAAATAGCAGCAGTATTTAAAAGGAAAAAAAATGAAAATTCGATAAACCGTAATAAATAATATTTGTAACAAAGAAATTTCCATTAGATTGTGCTTCATTAAAAGAAATCTGTAAGCACATTTTTGGATGACACTTTATAAACGAAATTTCTCTTAATTTAGCTGTATTTTAAAAAAATTATATAAAAACTACACTACATCATTAAATCAAATCCTCCATTACATAATCAAAAAAGATCCATTTATTCTTTAATAACCTATTTCTATTTAATTCCCCATTTTCATCCAGTTCTCTAACAATCAATCGCACACAGTTCCAAATCTTACCAGGAATAGCGTTTTGGTGATAACTGGGATTAAATTAATTAACCTTGACATCCGTTTTGCCTTCCAAGTGGAGAACTTTTCAATTGTCAACGGTATCATGGTAGCTGAAATCGACAATGGAAACAGATAGCTTGATTCTTATCAGCACAGAACCATCCACTATGGCGTCTGATTAACCATCGATTCTTAATGAATGAGAAGACATTGGTATTTGGATCGTGGTGAAATGTAACATAGCTGTAATTTATCTAGACTCTTTGGCAATGATTCTGATTAGAAACAACGATCAAATCAGTTGGGTGATTTATATATCTTTTAAATACATTTTGAAAAAGTTCAGAGTTTGAAACTTTAATAAGTTCTAAATTCAATAAGAAACCCTTCGAATTTAGTTCCTTTTCTATTTGTTAAAACACCAAGTGATAGGACACAAAAACTCTTTAAACACAAATGTTGAATTATCCTTTTATCAAATTAGGAAGGAATTATCTCCAAATCAATGTTTTACGCACATCAACATCGATTCTTATCAGAATGGAGTTAAATTACTTGACCTTATTAATAAATAACATTAAAAACAAAAACCTTATGGAAATTCCCATTGGTTTATGTTTCCTTTAAAGCAATCTGTAATCTGCAATCTGCATAGATCTATGAATATATAAGATATATGTCTAAAGATATATGTCTTTGATAAAAAGCAAAAATATATTGATTAGTCCATATGTATTTTCACAACAATAATACTTTAAGCAACGGGATTACGATTAAATTATTATAAATGTTAATGCGAATAGCAGCAGTATTTAGAAGAAAAAAATGAAAATTGGAGAAACCGCAATAAGTAATATTTACAACAAACAGCTTAAAAAAAATCTCAATGAAATATAATTTATTAAAAAAATCTGTAATTAGAGACCTATGAATGAAAGTAAAAAAATATATTTTTGATCTAAAAGTTTAAAAGTATTGGTCAATACCATATGTATTTGCATGACAGGGATTATGATTAAATGAGTATAAATATTACTGTAAATAGAAGCAGTATTTAGATGAAAAAAAAATGAAAATTAAATTAACCGTAATAAATATTATTTACAACAAAAAGCTTTAAAAATTTATTAAGTAATTAATATTAAATAATATTAAAAACAAAAAACTTAAAGAAATTCCCTTTGGGTGGTATCTCATTTAAAAAAAAGTATGTAATTAAAGATCTGCGAAGTATGATCTACGAATGAAAGTAAAGATTTATGTATTTGATATAAAAGTTGAAATGTGTTGCTTAGTGGCATATGTATAGTTTAAGTATAAATATTACTGTAAATAGCAACAGTATTTAGATGGAAAAAATGAAAATTCAAGAAACAGCAATAAATAATATTTACAACCAAAAGGCTTAAAGAAATTTGCATTCGATTGTGTTCTATAAAAAAAATCTGTAAGTAAAGTTCTATGAGTTCTATGAATCTGTAAGTAAAGTTCTATTAATGAAAGTAAAAATCGATGAATTTGATATAAAAGTATAATTGGTTAGTATTATACGTACACCATACGTGTGTATACATAAAATATTTGCGCATCAATATTAGTTATAAGCTACTCTATTATGATTGAATGAATATAAATATTACTTGAAATAGCAGCAATATTTCAAAGAAAAAATGAAAATTTGAAAAACCGCAATAAATAATATTTGCAACAAAAACTTAAAGAAAGTCCCATTAGAATGTGTCTCATTAAAGAAAAATATGTAATCACATTTTTAGATAACACTTCACAAACGAAATTTTAGTTAATTTAAATGCATAATAACGATATCACTATATCAAATCCTCCATTATATAATCAAAGAAGATCTATTTATTCTTTAATAACCAATTTCTATTAATTCTCCATCTTTATCCAGTTTGCTGTCAATCAATCTCTCACAGAGTTTCAAATCTTTCCAGGCATAGCGTTTTGCTGATAACTGGGATTAAATCAATTAACATGGACATCCGCTTTGCCTTCCGAGTGGAAGACTTTTCAATTACCAAAGATCTGATGGTAGATGAAATCGACAATGGAAACAGATAGGATGATTACTATCAGTACAGAACCATCAACTGTGGCGTCTGATTAACCGTCGATTCTTAATGAACGAGAGGACATTGTTATTTTGATCGTGGAGAAATGTAACATAGCTATAATTTATCTAGACTCTTTGACAACGATTCTGATTAGAAACAGCGATCAAATCAATTGGGTGATTTATATCTTTTAAATACATTTTGCCCAAAACTTCTGATTTTGCAACTCCAGTATGTTCTAAATCAGGGGTGGCCAACTCAAATTGTCTTGCGGGCCACTTTTGAAATGCATCATAACTCCGCGGGCCGCTTATAAAATTATATATCCCCATACTAGATTTACACCCACTATAGACATTTTTCGGAGTGAAAAATTAAAACATAGTGAGTTATTATTTTTGTGTTTACTATTGTTCTTGCATGTAAACATAGATAACATAATAATCATGACACTAAACGCACATTGTAAAGAAATATATAACACTAAAAATGAAATATAAAAAATATATAAATATAAACGGAAAAAAAATTAAATCATAAAAAAAATATTTATTTTATTAGTGCGATATTTGTTTCTCCACTCTTTCACTTAGCTTTTACAAATCGATCTCGATTTCGGTATTTGCACATCGTAATGGGTGTTGTAGGTTAGCGTCCGTTTTGTTTGAGTTTGTTTTGTGCTTGGTAAATTTCATTTTCACACAAAAATGGTTCGCAGGTGTACGTTGAACACAAACCCAAAATTGACATTGGAAATAGATAGAATGATTACTATCTGCACAGAATCATCAATGTGGCGTCTGATTAACCATTGATCCTTAATTAATGGATGCATATTGGTATCTTGATCGTAGGGAAATGTAAAATGCTGTAATTTATCTTTGAAAACTGATCAGAAGCAGCGATCAAATCAGTTGTGTGATTTGTGTCTTTTAAATACATTTTGCCAAACTTTTCTGATTTTACAACTTCAATATGTTTTAAATTCAATACAAAAAATTTGTATTTATTTCCATTTCAATTTGTTAGAACACTAGGTATTACGACACAAAAACTCGTTAAACACAAATACTGAATTATTCCTTTATCTAATTAGGAAGGACCTATCTTCAAATCAATGTTTTATAGTCATCAACATCGATTATTACCAGAATTGAGTTAAATTAATTGGCCTTATTATTAAATAATATTAAAACCGAGCCAACGGCCGTACCATGCTGAATATACCGGTTCTCGTTAGATCACCGAAGTGAAGCATCATTGGGCGCGGTCAGTACTTGTGACCATCTGGGAACACCGCGTGCCGTTGGCAAATTTGGGACCTGAATGGCCGAGTGTCTAGCGCTCTGGCGCTCGGTGCCACAGGTTTCGGGTTCGAATCCCGGCGGTGCCATGGATGTTTCTAGTGGTTCGGAATCCACTTTAAGCTGTACGTCCCAATCTCCTATGACTGTAAGAGCGTCACGGAGCAAAAGTCAGGCTTCTACCTACGGGTGCTCCATCACAACAGAAGCTGCTTCCTTCCCCTTCAATCATGAGTACGTATGGGCTCGTGAGCTTGGCCAGCCAAGTGGGATAAGCAACAACAAAACATATTAAAACCAAAAAACTTAAGTAAATTTCCATTGGATTGGGCTTCATTTGAAAAATGTTTGTAAATAAAGATCTATGAAGTGTGATCTATGAATGAAAGTAAAAGTTTATGTCTTTGATATAAAAGCTAAAATCTATTGGTTAGTGGCATATGTATAGTTTAAGTAACGGATTATTATTAAATGAGTCAAAATATTGCTGTAAATAGAAACAGTATTTAGAAGAAAAAAATGAAAATTCAAGAAACAGCAATAAATTATATTCATAGCAGAAAGCTTAAAAAAAATGTCCATTAAATTATATTTTATTTTACAAAACCTGTAAATAAAGATCTATGAATGATAGTAAACATATATATCATTGATTAAAAAGTTAAAATAGGTTTGTCAGTACCATATGTATTTGCACAACTATAATATTTTACTCCACTGGATTATGATGAAATCAGTAATAAATATTACTATAAATAGCAGCAATATTTAGAAGAAAAAATTTTAAAATTCGAAAACCTCAATAAGTAATATTTACAACAAAAAGTTTAAAGAAATTTCCATATGATTGTGCTTCATTAAAAAAAAATCTGTAAGCACATTTTTAAAGGACATTTTACATAGCGAACTTTCTCTTTATTTAACGTATTTTTAAAAAACATAATAATATCTACATTATATCATTAAATCAAATCCCCCATTACATAGTCCAAAAGATCCATTTATCCTTTAATAACCAATTTCTATTAATTCCCCATTTTCATCCAATTCGCTAACAATCAGTCTTTCACAGATTCAATTCTTACCAGGAATAGCGTTTTGGTGATAACTAGGATTAAATCAATTAACATGGACATCCGCTTTGCCTTCCGAGTGGAATACTTTTCAATTACCAACTATCTGATGGCAGCTGAAATCGACAATGGAAACAGATAGTATGATTCTTATCGGCACAGAACCATCAACTGTGGCGTCTGATTAACCGCCGATTCTTAATGAATGAGAGGACATTGGTATTTTGATCGCGGAGAAATGTAACATCGCTGTAATTTATCTAGACCCTTTGGAAAAGATTCTGATTAGAAACAGCGAGGAAATCAGGTGGATGATTTATATCTTTTAAATACATTTTGCCAAACCTTTCGGATTTTGCAACTCCAGTATATTCTAAATTCAATACGAAATTCTCGAATTTAGTTCCATTCCTATTTGTTAGAAAATCAAGTAATACGACACACAAGTTCGTTAAACACCAATTGAATTATAGCGCAAAAAACTGTTAAAGGTGAACAATCCAATGATACCAAAATTAAAATATTACATTCCACGATTATTTTGTAATAAGTTTTTATAATCAAAACAAGACTTTGCTCTCACACTGTATTTTTACGTCCCATGAAAGTTCTAAAGAACGAAATAATAAATGCACAAATAGATGTAGAAACTATGTTAAAAACAATTATATTTTATTTCTACGAAAATGTAAACAAATTATATAAATTTTTTATATATTAATTCATTGACATTCTGAAACATTTTGTCAGATAACTGAAAGCGATATATTTTTCTGAAATTAGAAAAAAAAATTCTGATTTACGAAAACATTTTCTCAGATAACGTAAAAAAAAAAATTGGAACAAAGTGCTGAAGAATAGCAAACAAAATTAACAACAAAATAATAAATATCTCAAATAACAGTAAAAAATCAATTTGGAAATAAATGGAAAAAAATAATACACAATTTTTTCCACCAGTTGGCGAATATTGTTGAACTGCAAAATATTTTGTAAAATAGCAACTGGTGTCATTATTGTTAAAATGGTCATCGTAAGCAGTAATTGAAACCTAGTGACAAAACCAATGCTATACAAATATGTTGCAAGATAATAGAGAGTTTTTGCATACCGTACGTTAGTTACCGTAGGACGTCCGTTAGCTTTTTCTCCCTAGCGCGCACGCTCAGTTTCCTATGAGCATGCGCGCTAGGGAGAAAAAGCTAACGGACGTCCTACGGTAACTAACGTACGGTATGCAAAAACTCTCTAATATTTCATTTTCTGTTACAAAATAATTTCGGAAAATATTTAATTTATAAATAGGATGACATCATTAAAGGAATATTTTTAGTATAATCGTTATTTGTAGATGTTTATGATAGATATTAATTCATTTCTCTTTCTTCCAAGAATATTTTTTTATCGTTAACATTTCATGTTATATTTGCCATTACATTTGTGATATAGATAAAAATGATTATAATTTGGAGGTTTTATTGACAATGGTACATAGAATGTTTTGAAATTATATTTTGTAAAAGATCATCATTGATAATTTATGATTTATTTCTGTATTTAGAACATCAGAATTTTTACGGGAATTGATTAAAAATTTCTCATTAAAAGACTAAAGTTCATTTAATGTTATACTTTACATTATACAATACAATTAATATTATACTTCCAACATTTGTGGCATAGATAGAAACAGTTATAATTTGGAGGTTTTACTGACAACGATATAGTATATTTCTGAAATTACATTATATTTCTGAAATTATGTAAAAGATAATCATTGGGCATTTATTTATTTATAATATTTAGTACATCTGAAGTTAAATATTTCAGGAAATGGTTAAAAATTTCTCATTAAAAGACTAAAGTTCATTTAATGTTATATTTTACATTACACAATACAATTAATATTAAATTTCCAACATTTGTGGCATAGATAGAAACAGTTATAATTTGGAGGTTTTACTGACAACGATATAGTATATTTCTGAAATTACATTATATTTCTGAAATTATGTAAAAGATAATCATTGGGCATTTATTTATTTATAATATTTAGTACATCTGAAGTTAAATATTTCAGGAAATGGTTAAAAATTTCTCATTAAAAGACTAAAGTTCATTTAATGTTATATTTTACATTACACAATACAATTAATATTAAATTTCCAACATTTGTGGCATAGATAGAAACAGTTATAATTTGGAGGTTTTTACTGACAACGATATAGTATATTTCTGAAATTACATTATATTTCTGAAATTATGTAAAAAGATAATCATTGGGCATTTATTTATTTATAATATTTAGTACATCTGAAGTTAAATATTTCAGGAAATGGTTAAAAATTTGTCATTAAAAGACTAAAGTTCATTTAATGTTATATTTTACATTACACAATACAATTAATATTAAATTTCCAACATTTGTGGCATAGATAGAAGCAGTTATAATTTGGAGGTTTTACTGACAACGATATAGTATATTTCTGAAATTACATTATATTTCTGAAATTATGTAAAAGATAATCATTGGGCATTTATTTATTTATAATATTTAGTACATCTGAAGTTAAATATTTCAGGAAATGGTTAAAAATTTCTCATTAAAAGACTAAAGTTCATTTAATGTTATATTTTACATTACACAATACAATTAATATTAAATTTCCAACATTTGTGGCATAGATAGAAACAGTTATAATTTGGAGGTTTTACTGAAAACGATATAGTATATTTCTGAAATTATATTATATTTCTGAAATTATGTAAAAGATAATCATTGGGGATTTATGTATTTATAGTTTTTAGTACATCTGAAGTTAAATATTTCAGGAAATGGTTAAAAATTTCTCACTAAAAGACTAAAGCTCATTTACTGTTATATTTTACATTACACAATACAATTAATATTAAATTTCCAACATTTGTGGCATAGATAGAAACAGTTATAATTTGGAGGTTTTACTGAAAACGATATAGTATATTTCTGAAATTATATTATATTTCTGAAATTATGTAAAAAGATAATCATTGGGGATTTATGTATTTATAGTTTTAGTACATCTGAAGTTAAATATTTCAGGAAATGGTTAAAAATTTCTCACTAAAAGACTAAAGCTCATTTAATGTTATATTTTACATTACACAATACAATTAATATTAAATTTCCAACATTTGTGGCATAGATAGAAACAGTTATAATTTGGAGGTTTTACTGAAAACGATATAGTATATTTCTGAAATTATATTATATTTCTGAAATTATGTAAAAGATAATCATTGGGGATTTATGTATTTATAGTTTTAGTACATCTGAAGTTAAATATTTCAGGAAATGGTTAAACATTTTTCACTAAAAGTCTAAAGTTCATTTAATGTTATAATTTACATTACACAATACAATTAATATGAAATTTCCAACATTTGTGGCATAGATAGAAACAGTTATAATTTGGAGGTTTTACTGAAAACGATATAGTATATTTCTGAAATTATATTATATTTCTGAAATTATGTAAAAGATAATCATTGGGGATTTATGTATTTATAGTTTTAGTACATCTGAAGTTAAATATTTCAGGAAATGGTTAAAAATTTCTCACTAAAACACTAAAGTTCATTTACTGTTATATTTTACATTACACAATACAATTAATATTAAATTTCCAACATTTGTGGCATAGATAGAAACAGTTATAATTTGGAGGTTTTACTGAAAACGATATAGTATATTTCTGAAATTATATTATATTTCTGAAATTATGTAAAAGATAATCATTGGGGATTTATGTATTTATAGTTTTAGTACATCTGAAGTTAAATATTTCAGGAAATGGTTAAAAATTTCTCACTAAAAGACTAAAGCTCATTTACTGTTATATTTTACATTACACAATACAATTAATATAAATTTCCAACATTTGTGGCATAG